GGCCTCCAACCTACTAGCGATGGCCTCCAACCTAAGTTAAGAGCAATGGCCTCCAACCTACTAGCGATGGCCTCCAACCTAAGAGCAAAGGCCTCCAACCTACTAGTGATGGTCTCCAACCTAAGAGCAATGGCCTCCAACCTAATGGCGATGGCCTCCAACCTACTAGCGATGGCCTCCAACCTACTTACTAGTTGGACTACGGCCAATTGTTTTCACCAGTACGTGCAAGCATCCATGGCTCATGACGAACATCCACGGACAGGACTACCTCTTTGCCTTGGTCATTGCCATCTACGTTGGTGCAGTCTGACTGCGCTTGGCACTTTTTGTTTAGCCTGGCACTGACTAACAAAGAGACTAGCTGCTCGTCCAACTTCGGGTCTAGCTGTCCATAGAACACTGAACTCAGCTACATCCAAGGCCTCCACCTTGCGTTACCTCTACGTCCCCCACCACGAGGCTCTCGAAAGCGTGAGGCGAGGACGCCCCACCAGGGCGTGGAGAAGGATTTTGTCTGCAGAGGCACAGATTGAAGCCCCCGGCACCGGACTGGTGGCGCCCTATGCCTTTTGCTTGACAGTGCTTTGGCGAGGATCGCTTGCAGCTAGCCAGGTGCTGTTTGTTCAAAGCAGGTCAAAACTGAAAGGTTGTGGCAGTGGCCCCTCTAGTGTAGAAACAGTAAAGATATGATGAAATCTCGTTTATGCGCTTGGTCAGCTTGAATCAATTGAAGAACGACCCGTCAGTTGATAGGAAAGGCTGGGTAAAGGTCTTTTGCTACTGAGGGTAATAGGCTAAAATTGCAAGAAGCGGGTGCACCATCATACCTACCACTCATGAGAATCCTGCCGTGGTTCCATCGCTGGTCACTGCAACTGCCACAATGAACCATATTGCTTGATTTTATCATTCTGAACATCTTCTGATCGGTTCTACCAGGGCATTCATTGTTGGAGGATGCAATGATAGGCAGAAGACCGGCCCCCCGTGATTCGGCGCAGCGAACCAAAACACCGCCTCCATGGGCCACCAGGCAGCCACCGTTGCAAAGAATTGAGGCGAACATGACACCATTGACCCTGTGCAGCGCTTTGTATGGCCTGTATTCCTCTAGCAAGCACATTGGCTTTGGACGAATGCATTGGGAGCTCTGGGGCTGGGTGATGGAATTCCGAGCGGTACGGAAGTCCAGTTCATGGACTCCGAGACCTGAATCGAAATGCTACGTAGCACGTAGCCGTTGGCGTTATTTTCCCTTGTTAGCTGCAATGGTTTGTTCGTTGGTGCTCTCAAAGCTGATGTTTTTTTCATCCCAAGTCCTGTTTGCATTGCTTCTATGTTGGAGGCCATCATTGCCTGTTTGCAAAATAAAATAGGTTGTATTTTTCCAGAAGCTCGGATGTCCACAAATTTGATCAAACTTGAGGATGCTCATTTGGTACTTTTTGGCCTCCATGTCCGAGCTGTGCACCTTTGCCATCGTCAGCCGCACCTTCCATCCACTCTTCACCTTGTTATGCTATGTCCTGGCTGCCGGCATCAATGCCATGAGCGTGGCTATGCGCCACAGCTGCAAGCATGCAATGGATTGTTTCTTGCAATCCCTTCGATATCCTTCGTGTGTGTTCTTTGGATGCCACACGAACACCTGGTCCGTGGCCATTGAGAGTGCATTGCAGAATCAGACGTTCGTTGTGGCACCATACTTGGGGCCTGGTTTGCCCGCTGCGCTTTTTGTCATGTTGCGTTTGTATTTGTGGGTTGTTTTTTGCTTTGCTCTTTCTTTGCCACATGGGATTTGTTCTTGGCACCTGACAATTGCACGACCAATGGGGTGGCCAGTACTACATGACGAGTTTATTCTTCCTTTGGAGTCCATGGCACGTGTAGTCCAATCATGCGTTTTGGAAGAGGACTGCAATGGAGAGGAAAATGGGCTGAACCCAGCATGCATTTGGAAGGGCCTGCTTCTGGCATTGGCTGCTTTGACACTACCTGTTCGATTCATTGGAACGTTGTTGTACGTCATCTCCTGGTTCGACTACGAAGAAGAACTTGACCTGGCACAGCAGTTGATCCAAAAATCGGATGAGGCTGAATCCTGGGCCGAGGAGCAGGCAAAACTGCATAAGGATAAGGATTGTTTAGAGCTCTTGTTCTTAGTCCGAACCCCAGACGTGGAGGATTCCGAACAAGACTTGTGTGGTTTGTTGAGCATGCAATCCGATGTGACGGAGATCAGTTCAGACTCAAGAAGCGACGGCCCCAAGCCTTGATCTATGTGACCGGCCTGACTGATCGGACGTGTCCTCGCAGTCGGTAGGTGTCCCAACGCCTTCTTTATCCGAATCTCCTAAGGTTGGATTCACATTGGAGAGTCACATCGAGCTGCGATCGGTGAAAAGGATCGTCTTACATACATCGTTGCGAAAGGTCTTCAAAGGTCTATGCCATATGGGTGGGTGGTTGGGTTGCCAGGCCGCGCTTTTTGGCGCCATGGTCAACCCTTTGCGGCTTTCTTTCGTCTCCTTTGGATCTGCCGCCTTCTCCATCATAGCAAAAGGACCCTAATAGCCATGGCCTCCAACCTACTAGGCCTAGAAGCCATGGCCTCCAACCTACTAGCGATGGCTCTGTCAGGAGACGGACCCCGCCCGCAGCGATCTTGAAGACTTCGTGGACTGGCGCCGGCGGCAGCCCAAGGAGGCCAAGGCCCTGGTGAGCGCGGAGTGCCAGGCGCTCCGAAAAAGCGCCAGGGTGAGCGGTTCGGTGCACATCGAGTTGGAAAAAGATGGTCACGGGAGGTGGGTACTTTGTGAGGCGATGTTGCCTAGATCTTTAGAGAATTCATGGAAAGAAAGCGCACATCTGCGGTCCATCGGTCCATCGTCCATGTTGACCTCATTCCTGAGCGAGTTCTCGGACTCCGATCAGTCCGCTAAACACCAACGAGAATTGGTCAGTCCAGAAGGAGCTGGGAGAAACGGACGGACACATTTCCACTCCGAGTTGGCCGTTGGCCGGCCGAATTCTGGTGTTTTCGCACAGAAAGGCACCATTGGAACAAGCAAAACCCATCACCTCCGAGCAGAAATTGCGATGTGATGTTGATGCCACTGTTGTAGGGCCAAACATCTTTCAACGAGAGGGAGGCAACGCCAACTGACAGCTTGAACAACACATCTCTGATGTAATAAACGCTTGTCCCAATGCTTGTCCTTTGCAAGGCATTGGCCACCGCGGCGATGGAGGTGAGGAGAAACAGAGGGACCATCGACGGAACCCATGTCGAAGAGGTCTTGATATGTCGACAGATGATCCTGAGACGTTTTAATAATGCTGTTCTTTGATTTGTTCAGGGTCAGCAAGACAAAGAATCCTCCCCAACCTAGCGCACTACGGACAGATTCGTGATGATGCTTGCGTGTAGTCGAGTCTAGATCAACTAAGTCTTCGTGTCCAGTCACACATGTCCTGCTAAGTCCTGCTACCGTCCCGTCCCGCTTGTTTTGTGCTTCTACCTGGCTTGGTCGAGCGTGGTCGTTGGGCAAAGAAGGGGCGAACATGAATCACCTCATGGCCACTTTGTTGCGAGGAACTTTCAGATGGGATGTTGAAGCCAATGTCGCTGGACATGTTCAAAACACCGCCCAGTGAGGCTCCGAATCCCGCCACAACAGGCATTCTTTCCACCGCTGGTCCTGCGGACGCGTGTCCTGCGTTGTTCAGGTGAACGGCGGCGTTGCATCCCCAAAAAGGCCGGTCTTTCGACCAGTCTCGAGCCGTGGCGACGCGAAAACAGACACCGGGGCGAGGAACACGAGGAGGGCCGTGAGATTGATGACAATGAGCATCCTGTGAACCAGTATGAACCAGTGCAAGAAGCTACTAGTAACAAGGTGCATCGCTACGAGCGGAGCAAGGACGCTACGAACGGGGCTCCTGGCCTTACTACTAGGAGCAAAACAGCTACTAGAAACCAAGGGCATCGCGGAGCGGACGGAGCGATTGGACGCGGTCTCCGGACGGGGCGCTCCTGGCCATCGCTACGAACGTAACGAAGGGCATCGCTACTTTGCTTTCAGATCCCGTGTTCAGTTTTGCGCGTGCTCCCACGGGTTCTCTAAGGGGGGCAATATGAAAACGCTCATTCGCTCTCCACAGGGCCTCCCTTTCCTGGTGGCTTCAGTTTTCCATCCTCGCTCCTTGGCCAGAAATGGGTGGGCACTGGAAGGCCCAGGTTGCAAGATGCTCATGTTGGTAGGTATCGATCCCGAGAAAGACAGAAGGAAGCGAGAGGTCAGCAGTGAGATCAGCAGTTCGCTTGAAGTGTTGTAGTGTGTTATAAGGCTGAATGGCCACTGCAAGATCATCCATCATCCAAATCGGCCACAACGATTTGGATCACGTGCTGCTGCGTGTTTCTTTGGGTGAGCAGGATAGATGGCTGGCGAACCAGTGCTGCAGTTACATGCTGCTACCAAGAACCGCATAGAACAGCAAACGACCATTTCGCTGTTAAACACATAAGCTAAAGACAAATTAATTGCATCTGGTGGCGTACCAACAAGGTGGCTTTCCTCAAACATGGAATCGCGCCCATCTTCAGGTTCATTGATGTTTTGTTCAAGTATGTTCATAATGACGTAGCAAGATGTGTACACTCTCTATTACACTCTCATCCACAAAGTGTTACATTCCGAAGATTGATTCCCATCTCTTTTTCTGTTCCAATCGCACACATCGGAAAGACACATGTTTGTTCTAGAGAAACAACCTCAGAAGGCCCACCCTCCGAGGTCTCCGTCGTCTCGCTGGGCCTTGCGCTGGCGAAGCCCAAGCTGGGCGGGACGCGCTGGACGCGGTGAAAAACGGGACGCGGCGGACGCGGCCAGCGGCGCCACAGGGTTGCAGCGCTCTCATTGAATGGACCAAAGGGGGATGAGGAATCGTAGTGGATGATGGATCAAGTCACTATTGAGCGTTTGTTCTAGATTGCTTGGATCAAACCTGTGTGGTACTTACGTTTAGATGACCCTAAATGTAAGAAGACGTTTTGCAAGGTAAAAAGACCGCCACACATTCTTCTTAACAAGTTTCGCCCCCTACGTCTAGACCCATAGGAATGTATGGAAATGTAGGGATGCTAAACATCATTTTGTCACCTCAAGGGTGGTAGAGCGGGGTTGAGATGCAAGTAACAGAGGATGTTGATGTTGAAGATTTTGCCATGAAGGTTCTCTCGACTGAGAACCCCACAAGATTCGCGCACTCGATAGGCGTCAAAGGTGCTGTTTCTGCGGAGGAGGAGGAGGAGGAGGAGCTTCCACACTTCCACACAGACATTTTTGAGCATGTCCAGGGACTACCTCCTATGGGCATCATCCTATACGCGCATCCGGATGGAGGCCATCGCTAGTAGGTTGGAGGCCATATTAGAAACAAAGCAAGAAGAAAAGGAAGAATGGTCTTTCATATATAGTTTGCTATTAGGTTGGAGACAAATTCACGATCAGTTGTGTGCCTGAAAGCGACCACTCCAATTAGGGCTGAGGGCGGTGCTTCTCCTGATCCGTTTTACGAGTGAGGTGAGGGTTTCCAGGTCATGTTTTCACTCCCTTCGCATTGTACCGAGCCAATAGTATCACCAATACCATGCCAATAGCAGAAAGTTTGACTCTGTTTGCAAACCAAAGACTTTGCTGAGCCGTTTCAAATCGTTTCAACAGCCGAAGCTTCATTGGAGCTTCTGGCTCAAGTCACAACCAACATGGGAATAAGTGCATTTACTCGTCACGTGGTCGGGTGGCCATCACTATAGAAGCAACGTGGTTTCTTCTGTTTGCGGTCAAAATAATTGAAATCGCTGAACGAAGGCCAGGCCAATCACCATCCGATAGTCAACTGTGCGAGTGTCAAAGGTTGCCGGCAAAGGAATCGGACAAACACCGGACTTGGGTTTAATTGCAATGGCCTCCACCCTAAGAGCGATGGCCTCCACCCTAAGAGCGATGGCCTCCACCCTAGTAGCGTTGGCCTCCAACCTAAGAGCGATGGCCTCCAACCTAAGAGCGATGGGTTGAATTGTTATCTTTGAAATAATGAGTCGAAACACAACGATCCATCAACTGTGTGATACACTGATACGCATGATCCAACCAACAAAAATCAAGACGACACTCTTGCAGCGCAAGCACTTGCTGTATGGCCATGGCGGAATCTTTGGAGGTAAGGTGGAAGAGATCTTTTGGGGAAGATTTGGCTGGTGACAATGAGGGCGATTTGGACAGGTTCGACATATCCAAGTTTCACCCAGGATCATTTTGACAGTGACTTTTGGTGGTCATTTGGCCGGTGGTTTTGGCCCGATGTGCCTCCAGAACGTCAACAGGCAGATCCCCAAGAGGTCTTGGGTTTGAGCATGTTTGAACCCGATCCAAACCGGATCGGTGCCAGGCTGAACGTGCTGAGATGGCACTGCTGCTTGCTCGCTGCGATCGACCCGCTGTGAGGGTCGGGGCACTCCGGGGAAGTGGGTGTGGTGCAGCGCGGCGGGTTGAACCATGCATGAAAACATATGAGCAATTGCCAAAACCAACAGGTCAATATGTCCTCTTGGTCGGCCGGCTTTAGACTGGAAGCTGGGAGATGTGCAGTCAGGACATGCGTGTTCAGACCATTTTGGTAGAACAACAGACATGTTTGTCGCCATGGACGGACGCCAACACCCGCCGACCTTGCTCGTCCGTCCGCTGACGTCAAATCGGAGCTTTGACCAGCAGCATGTTCCACGGTTTTTGGACCAAAAATTCGATGGCTGCCCACGTTCTGAGCAGTTCCCTTCCTGGATGGGAGACTTGCTGAAGCTTTCGGTTTTCTTTGTGCGATCACCAAATCTTCAGGCTGCCCCTGGTGGCCAAATTAGCTATAGAAACGTTAAAGAGTATTCTAGTTTGGTGCAGCTGTGTCACTAGAAGCTGCTGGCCCAACTAACCCTGGCACAGTCGTAGAATTCACGGATTGCAGTATGAATCCTTTCGGGTCGTTTGATAGTTAGTTCCATGCGTTGCTACATTGGGCCCATATATTTAGGCCTTTGACTTCGTTACTCATGGTGGGGATAAGCCAGCGTTCTTTTCAAGAGTATGTCAAGAGTAAGCCAGCAGTTCCAACAACACGGCGTTCTCCCCAAGTTCAGAAGCGCCAGACCGATGCCAGACAGAGAGGCACCAAGCAAAGCCACGTCCTGAAACGACGGCCACGACGCCATGTCGGACGACTCGCTGTCGAGCGACAGCGACACGTCGGGCACGGCGGATGAGGTGGAGCGGGAGCGGGAGCGCGCGTTGGAGCCGGTGGGTAATCGAGAAAGAAGATCCAACCGAGAACATGTGGTCTTGAAGGGATACAAGTATTGATCATCCAAGCTTGGTTTCAAGAATGCGTTGGGATGTGGTTCTGGCCAGGCTGCATAGCCCAAAGAGGGATCACACTAGGCCAGTATCCTCACGGGCCGAGTACCCGCAAGGATGCGAAAGGTGGAATGATATCCAATATCTGAAGATTGGTAGGACACATGAGGATTGATATCCATTGACACACCATCTGGTGGACACCAATATCGTTACGCAATGATATCCAAAGGTGACTGAAGATTGGTAGGACACATTTGTCTTGGAAGCTCAGTGGCGGTTCGCCCAGGGGCTTTGTGGCTGTGCCATGGGGTGGAGCAAGGTCAAAGATAAGCTTCCTCCACAAACGGTCTGTGGTGTGAAAAGGAAGCAGTACATAGTCCAGTAACAGACATGTTGATCCAAGAAGAGGCAGTACAAAAGTGACAGATCAGAGACGCTGACAGCTTCATAAGTTGTTGCTCAGTGAACCCATAGACAGCATTTGGTAGGAGGGAAAGTAGGTGAGTGTTTATTTGTCGGTGGTCTCCCTCTTCAACTTATTGTTGCGACGCGGATGTTTTGCAGAAACGATCAACATGGATGCATTAACGAGCAAATACTGCGCGCACAGAGCCTTAGAAGCTTCACTTAAGATTGACCTGGTCAAAGTGGCGGTAATTAGAAGCCCTTTTGTTTTGAGGTACTGTACGGAATCCTCTCTTGAAATGGGTACTTTCCATTGTGGTCAAACTCCACATCCGGCTATTATAGTACTGGAGCCTGTTCTATATCTAGATACATCATGCTGGTGAGGTCGAACAAATAGTCATGGGGCATGTCAAACCACGATTCCAATGTTCCACCCAAACTTTACCAAATGACCGTCCAGAAACTTATACAAGGACGCTACGAACGGGGCTCCTGGCATCGCTACGAACGGAGCAAGAAGCTACGAACGGGGCTCCTGGCCGTACTACTAATCAGGAGCATTCTTACTACTAGTAACAATAAAGCTACTATGTATTCTTGCATGTGAAACATCCAATCAGCGTCAGGCAGGCTCCGACCCATCTGAGAGCGAGGAGGAGATTGGGATGACTTTGAGAGACCGTTGTGGCACTCGACACCTTTTGCAGTGGTGTTTCTTGGGGAAGGTTACATCCATTTACAAGCCATCTTGGTGTTCTTACTAGCAAAGACGCCACGAACGTAACAAGGGCACTAGGTGTTTGATCGCATTACAAGCCGTGAAGTAAAGACAAATCAACATCCCAAACTATGAGGCCCAACTCGGGTCGGTGAATATCCACCGTTGGGATATGAAGATCCAGAAAAGGCTCACTCATGACCTGTTTCGCAAACACAGGTCAAAACTGCCAGCACAATGTTTCTTTGTTGGCGAAAGCTGGCTCACATCTGCCTGCTTGTAGTGTGTGCGTCAAGTAACCCACATTCTGGATTCTCAGGAGTTCATACTAAGACCTGCAATTGGCACGGTCTTCGGACTGTTTCTTTTTTTCCGTTTCACAGCAAAGGGATGACATGAAGCGGTCATTGCTCCTAGTAGCTTCTTGTTCCTAGTAAGGCTAGGAGCCCCTAGTAGCGTCCTCTTGCTCCTAGTATGGGGTTGGTCGTGCGGTCTTCGACCCGGTTGGAGCTGGGGCGACAGAGCATGCCTGCGATCCAACCGGTATGCATGGTGGGAGACCATCATGCGAATGCGGTGTTCTCTTGCGGAGCGATGGACCCGTGTTCACCGGACGTTGGACGCTCGGGGCCAACAACAAACACTGCGGCCCACGCGAAGCGCTGCCGGCTGACGGTTTGGTGTCTCGTTTCAGGGAGTCTGAAGGGTGACGTGAAAGCACCACGTCCAGCTTCATGGTTGACTTTGGTTGGTCGTTTCAGGTGAGCGACGAACAGACCTGAGCATGTTCGTCTTTGCAACATACGAACAGCCTGGACCAGGGACTATTATAATAGACATATATGCAAGGATCAAAACACGCGATGATGACTTTAATAGGGCAGCCGCCTTGAGGTATCATAAACCATGAAAACATGTGAGTAGCGATACCACCCTTGAAGAGGCGATACCAAATCGATACCATCATCAGTGATTTGCAACAATGCTGTGTGAAGCGCAGCCGGTTTCCGGATCGATAGATACCTAGCTTGAATTCGATCAGGTTGGGGATCGTATTGGATGGAATTGACACTTGGATGGGATCGTATTAGATGACAATTGGGTTGACCTTTCCGAATGGTGTAGCTGCTCTCGGCGATACCCCTAGCGATACCCAAGCGATACCTTAAGCAATGCGCGAAATCCAGTTGGGTGACCATCTGCACACCGCCAGGCTACTTCTACTACTTACTACGACTGCTACTATTACTACTACTACTACCACTACTACTTCCACTACTACTACTACTACTACTCCTCCTCCTCCTCCTACTCCTACTCCTACTCCTACTCCTCCTCCTCCTCCTCCTGCTGCTGCTGCTGCTGCTGCTGCTCCTGCTCCTGCTACTGCTACTGCTACTGCTACTACTGCTGCTGCTGCTGCTGCGACTCCTCCTCCTCCTCCTACTACTTCTACTACTTCTAGTTCTACTTCTACTTCTTCTACTACTACTCGTACTACCACTACCACTTCTACTCCCACCAAAAGGCGGCAAATCAAAAAAATGCTTGCTGTGTGTGGCGATACCACGCTTGAAGGCGATACCAATGATTTTTGACCGTCGCACATGTATAGACTACTAGCGATGGGCTTCAACCTACTAGCGATGGCCTCCAAAATAGGGACTATTCTATAGACATATATATAGACTGACTGATGGACTTCTTGGCTGAGAGGATCATGTTGACAAACTGACAGCCCTCCAAGCGAGAGGACCCACCAGCAGCCAAAGAAGCTGCAGGCCGGTCTATGCACAGCGGTTGGGTTTCACCATGGGGGTTCGCCTGAGGGGTTCCACAGCATGTAGCACAAGGCGTGCATGAAGCATGTCACATTGGAATGTTTCTTCGATCAAGCTGTTGAGAGTGCAGTCGAGTATCCTGTTACCTGGAGTTCACATCCCAAACATGACATGACATGATATGATTCGACTAGAAGAAAGCAAACATTGCCTGACATGAATGAACATGCTATCGACCTTCCCCTGTGGACTTCGATCATTCGAGAGTTGCTTTGACCGCCCAAGTGGGTGGAGATCAGGGTTCGGAGTGCATCGGGACAGAGAAAGGTCTGAGGGCCAACCTCGTTACGTCCAGAGCGCTTCAACCAGACTTCCTTGCTTGTACTCCAACAGACGAAAGTACCCTTTTGGATAGGAACCAGGCAATGGAACGTGGAAGTCAGGAACCTCCCCACTCTACTTGCCTCCTGTCAGACTGACGAAATGAACAGGGCATTCCTTCGGACACTCTTCAGAGAAGGCCAGACTTGTACTATTTCAGTGGATGTCCACTTGGAGAGCGCTTTTAGGGGCTAAACAAGCATTGCGGCTGGACGTCTTGTCAGGAAAAGATCTGCCCGCTCCTGCAGCACCGCGGGCTGAACCGCGGGCGGAACCACGGGCTGAACCACGGGCTGAACCGCGGGCTGAACCGCGGGCTGAACCGTGGGCTGAACCGCGGGGTTCCCAAGAGGCTGGAGGAAGAGCTGGTGTTGGGAGAATCCAAAGAACCATTCAAAACGGAAATCGAAGATTGAAGAACTGAGTGCCTTGAAATTCACTCTTTCCAGACTCATGTTGATCCAAGACTTCAGGGACCTTTGTTGTGTTTTGAGCTCTCTAAGGACTCAACGGACAAACGTCGGACGGAGAGGCCAAACTTCGGAATCAGAGCTGTGAAGCCGTGAGGGACCAAATCGGGCGAAGGTGTTGCAGGGATGTCCATGGGAGGGTTCTGTCTTGGACACATCGTCAACATGTCTGACTGCGAATCGGTTTGTCAGGCCACGCTAAGCCGCTAAACCCAGCAACCACGTGGTGAACCCTGATCAGAAGAACGAAATGGCTCGTACAGCCCAAGAAAGAGGGAGCTCGGGCTGTCATGTTCTTGTCACAAGAATTCAACATGAACGTTGATCATGTTGACTTCCCTTGATGCATCAGCCATCCCTTTGAACGCCTTTCCTGCTTGGTACTTGGAACCTTCGCTCACCGACTTGTTTGGCCCGGACCAGACCGTGGGCCGGTTGACGGGCGGGACCGGAGGGCACCAGAGGCGGCAAGGCGGAACATGCGGCTGAGGCCTCCAAAACGGAAAGAGAAGCGGCTGAGGCGTGGCAAGTTGTGAGAGCCAGGACCAGCTGTCGGGTCCAGTTCTAGCGCCGCTTCGGGACTTACTAGAAGGATCCAATACTGGCAACCAAACCCATGGCGTTTCGGATGGAAGAAATCCTCCACCAATGGGAATCGATTAAGCAATAAAGTACCAGCACCTTCATGTCGGGGTCACCTGGCTGGAAGCCCCAGCCCACTTCTAAGGGGCCTCCAGACAGGACACCCCTTGAAGGTCCTGGTATATGCCTTTTTCTTCGTTTCTGATCCAACCGGGTGTGAAGTGAAGACCGCGGATCTTTCACTTCGACACCGGGGTGTCGGGTCCCCGAACAACCTGAGGCTAAGGAGGTACCTGAGGCGGGTTTTGGCACGGGGGAAACCACCTCACTCCCACCAACCCAAGCAAATCGCATGCCATGCCTCCCACAACTCTGACCCAAAGCACTGATGAACGGCCTTGCCTGTTTCTAGGTTGACAGATGAAAACACCAGATTCCTGGTTCTCTTCAACCCTGCTCACCAGGTGCCGAACACCGCGGCGTTGGTTCACCTCATCTACCATTGTCCTGGAAAGACTTCACTGACATGGCCACACCGAAACACACAGCGGCCCACGATCCGAATGTGGACTGCACCTGCCAGGCCTGCACCAGTCGAGGAGGAGCAGGAGGAAGTCTTCAGGACGGGGCCATGGTCATGTGTGCTAATGAAGCTGCAAATGGACATGGAAAGTTCAGAAGTTGTCATGTGAGCCCGTGGGGAAGAGTTGAATCAGAGGGGCTATCCATGTTTGGACGCCTTTCGTTTGGAAGAGTTAGTGTCGAAAGCAATGATAAGCCGAAAGCATTTATTTCGTTCGAACTGGACATCCAAAGGTCGGGACAGATCACCCCTCTTCCACCAACCATTCCCAAGGTCGACACCTGACTGAGGGGCTTCGCTTGAATCTCTGGAAACTTTCCAGAGTGAACCCTAAACCCAAAAAAGAGTCTCTGGAAATCAGAGACACAGCTTGTTTGAGCACAGGCATCCACAGTTAAGCATCCATCCAAGCAGTTAAGCAGTTTTTCGCACTTGTTTTAACAGCTTCTTTTTCGCACATCAGCACAGGCTCTCGATCGAGACCTTGCAGGGCCGTTGGCGGCACTCGGTGGCCTCCCTCGGGACGGAACGCGCGGTGGAACGCGCGGTGCGCAGTGCGTGAGCAAGGATGGGTTCAGGCAGTAAAGGATGCCATTCGATTGGGAAGCTGATGGAATACGAAGCTTCAACTTGAAACTGGTACTAGTACAGTAGAAAACTGGAATCGGATGGTGTTGATGGAAAGTTTCAAGTTGATGGGAAGTTTTGTGCGCTATCCGTTTGCTTATCTCCAAATCATGGGATCTGTTTGTTCCCTGCACCTTGTGCCCCTTGCATTGACTGTGCATGGTGTATCCCTTGGGCCGTTGGAATCCTTTCACGGTCGACCCAACAAGTCCCGTGGCATTCCCCAAAATTGCAGCCATCGGACTGCAAGAATAGCAAGTGAAGATCTTTCAAGGAGCAAGGGATTCTATGGACGATCGTCCTTTTTCACAGCTTTTGCAGGGCTCGTTTTCGTACATGTTGTGCACCCTTGAGGAAAACCCCTGAAGCACTTGCCAAAGATGCATCCATGCGAGAGTTTCTTCACTACCGTGGTTGGTTCGGATCTCGTCGCAGGATGCTTTCGGTGAAAGGCGGCGCTGTCAGGCCAGGTGGGGGCGGCAGATCAGACTTGGTGCCCCCGGCTAACATGTGCTATGTAATTGTGAATGACTCGTGATTTGTCTGGAGCTACTAGATTGGATTGACAAGAAAGAAACATAGAAACCGGACAAATTGGCACTTCTGCACTAGTATTTGGCACTTCTCCTAAGAGAAAACCCAGGGAATGCTCCACTTCCCGAACGGCGAAGTGGTAAGGAGAGACACAGACACACACAAACGGATCGGCCGTGTGATTTTTTCAGGTTTGCTGATGGTACGTGCTACCTTTTGAAGGAGATCTCCCCGGGCAGGGCACCTCAGATGGATAGATCCAGAAAGAGCAAATTATGGAAGATCCTTCATCAAGACCATCAAGAACCAGCACGCCTTAGAGGTCAAGGGGTGTCCATTAACCACCTGTTGGGGGTTGTGTTCCATTCTGTCACCTATCTGACCATGTTCTTCTGGTCAGAACGAGCTCCTCCTTGCCCAAGGAACGAGAGGGGGAATTGGACGTTTGAGGAACCGGTGTTAAACATACAGCATCATACCAGGACCCTCCTGTCGGGGTGCCCTGTCTGGAAGCCTATAGGTAGTGTGGGGTAGTTCATTGGACACCAGGTGGGTCCTGGTATGCAGCCATGTCCTTCCAATTAGACAGGGGTGGCTTTGGAGGGTTTTCCCCGGACTATTTCGTGGATGTTTTCACGTATGGAATGAAGACTGGCTTTGGCACTGCATCCGCGAACACCTCTTGTCAAAGCCAAGGCTCAAAAGTAGCTCTCAACAACAGAAAGTCATTGGACGATGTCAGCCCTGCTTGATTGATCGCCCTTGGATCGTCAAAAAGGATTCAGCATCCAAAAAGCAATTGGCCCAACAGATTCACATAACGAGCATCCATTCTGTCCCAAGCAGCAAAATCAACAAACCAAGCCAAACAGAACACTGCGAAACACAGGGAAACACAAGGATAGAATAGGCAAATCTCACCCTCACCCAAAGCGACCTTCCCAAAAAACCTGGAAGAAGACTCCATCTTAATCCCCCCCAAAAGGAAAAGAAGAGAGAAAACCATCAGGTGTCGGTCTCGGTGTCGGGTCGCCGCGGTCGCCCTTCCATGCTGAGCGTCCTCGTTCCACGTGCCGTGCCGCGGTCGCGCTCTCCGTCCGCTGCGCCGCTCCGCGCCGTCGCCGCGTGGAGCGTCCGACGGAGCTGGACGCGGAGCTGGGGCGCGTGGCCGTGGCTGGTGGCCGTGGCTGGGGATGATGGGATGATGTGGTTCCTAGTAGAAACAATGTTCGCTACTAGGAACAAGTGCATCGCTACTAGTAACAAGTGCCTTACTAGTAGTAACAAGAAGCGTAGGTTGGAGGCCATCACTATTATGTGTCTCTTCACGTAAAAATATGCACTGGGAATCTCTGAAGGGACGATGGTCGAACTGGGGTGATGCATCCGTGCATGACTGGATGGGAATCCTGGATGAAGTCTGTCCTTTTTGGAGGGATCATGATCAAAGCATGAGCATGAAGAGATGGTATTAAGGAAGCAGCTGGTTGGTTCAATGAGTGGCGGCTTCTACCCTTTTTGGAGATTGGTTTAAGGCTCTAACAGGTTTTGAAGTTTTAGGATTGAGGAAGCCAGATGTTTTCATTCATGTGAGCGACGCAAGCGACACAAGATGCACCTAGAGCACCACGTGGTTTTTCTTCAGCCTCTGATCCGGCGAACCAGAGTGAGGTAGTAGACAACCATTTGTTAAACCCTATTTCTAAGAACATATAGCATTTACTTCCTTGCAAGAGACCTTGAGCGAAGCAGCCCAAGCCAGGTGACAGTTGTGGGTGGCATGGCCAAAGCGACGGCGCGGAAGACGAGCCGAGTGGACTCACATTTGCACTTGTGGACTCCGGACGAGGAGACTCCGGTGGGGCACCGGTCGCGCTCGCGCTCGCGCTCGCGCTCGCGCTCGCAGTGCTTCTTTTCTCAGCT